ATTATGTTGACATGAAAACATGTACTGTACACACGCTTGTATGTATCGTAAAATTATATAACAGGGATGAGATACAATAAAAAAATTAATAAATAATAATAATAATAATAATAATAAATGTGACGATGATAATATTAAAAAATATTATTATTAATAGTAATAAGGGTGACAGACGGCAGGAAAAGATAAGAAAAGCAGCGGGGGGGGAGGGGGGTGTTTATTGTAGCTATCGTGGCACGAGTAGTAGAATTAAATAATAATGATGATAACAATAATGACAGTAGTAGCTGTGTAGTCGACAACGGCAGAGCATGCACAGCAGGGAAGACCTTCCGTGTTTTTTAATTTTATTTTACAAAGTGGGAAGAAATATGATAACATATCTTATTATTATATTATATGCCACACCCCATCACCCACCAAAACCAATCATCCGCCCACACCCACGCACGAAATATTTATTATACACAACACCAGGCCATAACCGTGGTGCAGTACAGCATGCCCAATCCCTTGGCCGAGATGGAGCTGCTGGGCTTCTGGGGCCTTAAGCTCGTGGCGACAGTGACGGATTGCCACATGTCCGACAGTAAGTAGATCTCTTTCTTTTCACTTTTTTAGTGTGTTTGTGTGTATGTGTGTTTTTTTTTGTGTGTGTATGTTTTGCTTCGGGGTTTTGGAGATATGCATGTTTATTATTTGCCACCCTTTTTGTGTTATATACGTATGCATGTCTGCTGATAAGTATGTTTGTGGTAATAAATGGACATGTATCCAGGCGGCAGGGTGATGACGGCTTTCGTCTTCAAAGTGGTCTCGTACAGGAACGAAGCAGCGTCGACAATGTTGACTCCGGAACCTCTTCCGGAGTCCCTGGAGTACCTGCAGGCCCAAGTGGAAAGGGCCTTGGATGAGAGACGGGAGCTGGAGCGAGTAATGTGGGCAGCCCGGGAGGGGCGAGGTGGTCCTTCCATGCTGTCCTGCAAGCAGCTGGAGACCATCGAGTTGAGCACCATGGGAGAGGCGGCAGAGCTGGAGGTGAAGCGCGCCCTCGAGGTGAGAGGAGGAGGAGAGAGGGAGAGGGATCAGGCATGCATATGGGTATAATATAGTAGGAGAAAAGGGGCTGCCGTGTCGCTATGTGTCGCCACTGTCGTGCTGTTGCCGCCGCCGCGGCCGCTGTCGCTGCCGCCACCGCTGCCACCGCCACTGTCACCACCGCTGTCGCCACCGCTGCTTCCACCGCCGCCGCCACCGTCGCCACCGCCGCCACCGCCGCCGCCGCTGCTGCCGCAGCTGCTGTCGCTGCAGCCACTGTCGCCGCTGCCACTGACACCACCACCTCTGTAGCTGCTGCCGCTGTTGCCACCCCTCTGTCGGCACCGCTGTCGCTGCTGCCTCTGCCGCCGCCGCTGCTTTGTCGCCGCCGCCACTGTCGCCACCGTCGTTACCGCCGCCACCGCCGCCACCGCCGCCGCTGTCGCCGCCGCCGTCACCACCACCGCTGCCGCTGTCGCTGTCGCCACTACCCGCTGCTTCCACCGCCGCCGCCACCGTCGCCACCGTCACCACCGCCGCTGCTGCCTCTCCTGCCGCAGCTGCTGTCGCTGCAGCCACCGTCGCCGCAAAGCCACTATCACCACCACCTCTGTAGCCGCTGCCGCTGTCGCCACCGTCGCCACCACTGTCGCTGCTGCCTCTGCCTCCGCCGCTGCTTTGTCGCCGCCGCCACTGACACCACCACCTCTGTAGCTGCTGCCGCTGTCGGCACCGCTGTCGCTGCTGCCTCTGCTGCCGCCGCTGCTTTGTCGCCGCCGCCACTGTCGCCACCGTCGTCACCGCCGCCACCGCCGCCGCTGTCGCCGCCGCCGTCACCACCGCCGCTGCCGCTGCCGCTGCCGCTGTCGCTGTCGCCACCACCGCTGCTTCCACCGCCGCCGCCACCGTCGCCACCGTCGCCACCGCCGCTGCTGCCTCTCCTGCCGCAGCTGCTGTCGCTGCAGCCACCGTTGCCACAAAGCCACTGTCACCACCACCTCTGTAGCCGCTGCCGCTGTCGCCACCGCTGTCGCTGCTGCCTCTGCCTCCGCCGCTGCTT